TATATATACTCTTTTAAAAGGAAGAGTTGTTTCTTCAAACTTTTGAATTGCCAAAAATACCTTCATAAAAAGATAAGTTTTAAGGTTATTAATGTAATTTTCTTATTAATGGTAGGACGTTACACCTTCTATTTATTATCTTTTATTTTTTATGCTTAGTTATATCTTTAAGATCTTACACATATAAAACATTAATTACACAAATCCATATATTTTAAATAATAATTTATTCCTAATTATATTATTCCGAATTCATGTAAATATATGACGTTATGTTTCGATTTGGTTATTTTAAAGTTAGTTTTTTATTGTAAGAGAAAAAAATATTTTAAGATTTTTTAAATATAAAATATCATATATTTCATAAGTGTAAAATATTAATGCACCACAGAAAGTATCATTTTTAATTTCCAAATATCATATTGTTTACCATACAAATTTTTGGTTATAGTATTAAAAAAATTAAAGTGGAACAATTTAGTGAGCATGCATATGTTTAAGAATGATTGAATAAAAAATAATTATTCAACATACAAAATGTCAACTTTCTATGGAAAAAAGTTATTTGTTAAGTAAAAAAGATATGATCTTAACAAAAATATTCGTTAAAATTATTTAATAAAACAAAATGCATAATGTGATTTAAGTTTACCTGTTAATAATATGCATAATATAAATGTTCTTATATAATAATGTATTACATAAATTAGAATAGCATTTACTGAATTGTAACATAAATAAAAATAGATTAATTACATAAATCAAATTTAACTCAAATTCTATTTTAAATCTTAAGTTTCACAATACGTGTACTTATTAGAAAATAATTACAGTTAAACATAATTAAATAAAAATAAACAATAATTTTACTTTAAATTTATTGTCTTTAGCATATCTTATTTATAAAATCATTCATAAATTAAATGTTTCAAATCACTTCTCAAAAGTAAGGAAAATGAACTATACAAAATAATGACGAAGATATAAATAAGTAAGGTTAAGAGAAAAAAAATATGAAAAAATCATCATTTTATAATTCATTAACACTAGACTTGTTTTTTTTTCGAAACGAAAGAGGTATTATATAACTACTCAAAAGGAACAACAAACCCAATACAAACGGGGCCAACAGCCGAAAAAGAAAACTGAGAGGACACGCTATAAAGCGGCCTAGATAAACCTTAGACGGGCGACCAACTAGCCAAACTAGAATAAAACCGACTCAAACACAACCGACACAAGACACTAGAAACGCTCCCCACAGAAGAAAACACACAAAACACTAGAAACGCTCCCCACGGGAGAATTGGGACGGCCCCCAAGGGGTAATCAGAACAGAGGCCA